GCTGCACAGGAGTTACGCTGGCTCACCTACGTGCTGACTGATTTGGGAGAGCGGCCTCGTTCTCCTCCAGTTCTGTATGTAGACAACAAGGTTGCAATTGCCTTATGTCAGGAACACAGACTGGAGCACAGAACCAATCACATCGCTCTGCGTTACTTCCTTGCTCGAGAGTTGCAGCAGCGTGGTCAGCTTCGTTTTGCTTACGTGGCCACTCGGGCCAACACTGCTGATATATTCACCAAGGCACTTCATCCTTGTGATCATCAGCGCTTTTGTACTGTATTGGGCCTTGTGCCTGTTTTACCTCACTTGCTCACTGCTGGACTTTGCTTGTACTGTGACCTATATATATACCTGCATGCTTACTCTTGCTAGGTAGTGATCTTTGTACTGTTTGCTGTCTTTTATATAACTCTGCATGTGGACCGGCCCTATGACCATTTGCTTGTGCTCAGAGTGTGTGGTGACTTTGTGATCCACCTTGAGCTTGCTTTTCTTTTCTTGACTGGTCTTGTGACCCCTTGTTCTCCCCCACTTCACCTATGGGGGTGTGTCAAACTATAATGCTACTTGTGTTGTGTAGGTTGTAGTGGGGTAGCCTAAATGGGGTACAGCTCAATTAGGGTTATACTTGTACACGGTTTGATGTCAATGCATGCTCGTTAGTTTCTGACAATGTCTTGTAACAAGAGCATGTTTGAGGCCTTTTGGCTGTTCCTATAATCCAAACTAGCTCTCATACCATGTTAGAGTAAAGGACCTTGGATAGGATAGGAATTGCTTTCCCAGGGTTGGGTAGCGGAAGTCTTTGTTGTAGGGACTCATATCATAGTGAATGTAGATGACCAAGCTGGTTAAAACAAAGATTACACACATGATAAATGGTTCTAGCTAGCCATATACTCTGAGGTATACATTCCCTTATTCTAACTGCTTTACTGGCATTTCTACAGTGACTCTGACTATTGCACTTCTTCCTTGTTACTGAGTCGCTGCATGTAGCCTGTACTTACGGTTACGCCTGTTGCTATTTCTCGATGGTAGGTCAAACGTCGGTCCAGATGGTCAACAGTCGCGATAGTTGACTTTGCGACCGTTGACCTTCCTGCCCTTGATATAGGCAGATCTAACACTGCTGCTAGCGTTGCTTCGATAGTGGCAGGTGCGGTTGTTAAGAATAGGTAGCAGGAATGAACAGTAGAAAAGGGATTGCACTAGCAGCAGATTGGATACATATAGCAAACCCTAAATTGGGTTGTACTCACTATAGAGTACCCAACTGCAGACTAAACAATTATAGCATTCTGACACACCCCCATAGTCAAAGTGGGGTATGATCAGCACAGCAAGCAGTTGCATAAGAAGTTCATAAGCACAAGCGAAGCTAGAGGCTGTCATAGAGGGCAAGTGAGGAGGAGGGACTGTGAGAGGAGTGGAGATAGGAGGCGGTGGGTGAAGCCACAGTCACACGGGCAACAGGAGCGACACGCACGAGATACCGGACACAAGCAAGGGTATCCGGACTACTGGAGTCACTGGCTCCGCAGCTAAGATGAGCGGCTGGAGCAACGGACCCACGGGCGACTGGTGCAGCAGGCTCGCTAGGCTACCGGAGCAAGGGTGACCCCCGGACTGCTGGCGCTGCTGACATCACGACGGCTACCTCCGTTCAACCTCCCCCAACTGTCCCACACCCCTTTCACACACCCCTTGCTGCACCCCTAGCTCCACTCCCACGACACCCCCTAGCGCCACTCCCTCTGCTCCCACACACCCACCCCCCTCAGCGGCAGCTACAGTAGTGGGAGACGGAGGAGGAGGAGTAGGGGACAGCTCACACACCCGCCACCCCAATACCCGCCAACCCCACGCCCCCAACGCAAGCGGCGCGCGCGCGGCGCAGGGTAGAAACGCGGGAAGCAGCTGGGGCGGCGTGCGAGCAGAAGCGGGGCGGCGCGCGAGTCTCTGGGGCGTTGCGATGGGCGACGGGTAGGGCGGCGTGCGGGCCCCCAGGGCGCCGCGACGGGCGACGGGAGGAGGGGCAACGCGCGGGCCCCCAGGGCGCCGCGACCGGCGACGGGTAGGGCGGCGCGCGGGCCCCCGGGGCGCCGAGACGGGCGACGGGAGGGGACGATGCGTGGGCCCCTGGGACGCCGCGACGGGTGACGGGAGGGGACAGCGTGCAGGCCCCCGGAGGCCGCGACGGGCGACGAAACTGCCGCGCGCGCCCGGGGCGTGCGGCGGGAAGAAAAAACGCCGCGTAGAAAACGTCGCGCAACAGGCAAAACAGCAGCGGAAGCAGCAGAGTGGGCCCATCCACAGGATCGACCCACGAGGGTTGACCTGCTCTGATAGCATGTTAAAAATAGGTAGCAGGAATGAACAGCAGAAGAGGGATTGCATTAGCAGCAGATAGGATACTTATAGCAAACCCTAAATTGGGTTGTACTCACGATAGAGTACCCAACTGCAGACTAGACAATTATAGCATTCTAACAGCGGTACTGCTGTACCTATGGGAATGCTAAATGTAGTTCCCTTCATACTCCAACACCATAAATCATTTGGAGTTCTTACCTTATTAAGTTCTTAACAATTCGCTCCTTGCTAAGGTCATTCCTAGCTCGGTCACTTCTTGCTCCAACCGCTTCTAACGTTTAATATGGCATCCTCCCGGATTTCACATTTCAGCGCAGATGGTCATTTGTATATTCCGTTGCCAGTCATGACGAATCATGTTCCATATGCACATTATTTTGCGTGTCACTTAACCAAACATTGCTTGCCAATTCGACCCTTAGTGCTAACCATTTTTTTTTAACGGTACGTGTTTACAAAATATGCTCTTTAGTGTTGTATCGTTGTATCATTTTTCAGCCCCGTTAGTGAAATCCTCGTTCTACGGTTTTGATGCAATCATACATTTGTTTGTACAATTCTGTGTCTGAGATGCATATCTGAGGTTGATATTTGGGTCTTATTGTGGTCGTAACCGTTCCGATTCTAATGAGGATTTTGCGGCTAGGTTTGGCCAGTTGTATGTTACAGTACATGTCTGCTTGCTGAAACGATGTGATGGCGCCCCTAGATTGCGGCGGCCTACTGTGCATACAGGCTGCCATGCAGGCTCTCATGCAGGCTGCAGCGACGCAGAACTCGGTGGGGGTATGCACGTGTACTGTATCGCTGGACCCAACGACATTTCATGTGACATTTTTCTTTTGAGGAGTCATTCACTATTTGCTTAATCAATATATTACAAAGGTCACATGTGGGTACAGCACTTTTATTCGCATCCACTGCACTTTTTGCTATGCCACAACTTTCTTCAGACCTATTGGGCTGGGTTCATTCGGAGGTGTTTCTGATGAGTGGACGTCGTGCAGAACGCCTTGGTTGGCACGCCCCGCTGCACCGGGTTCCGAAGCTTGTATGGCACTGGTGCCCCGGTGCACTGGGTCAATCTTCTGCCAAGGTCACTGTTTCCGATGCCCCAATTCTGGGCTCATCTAGGGTGTGGCCTGTTCTCCGCACGGGGAAGGCAGGTCTATGTGCGAAGGCTACCTGAAACCAGGCAAACCTCAGCTTCCCTGGACTGTTCTCTTCTTCCCCCCTGTCCTCTGTAGTGTTTAGGATCGCCATTCATGTTCCTCGCTTCACAACTTCGCTAGGCCCCTTTTCAATCGCACAAATATCAGCAGAGAGCTATTCTTGGGAACATATTCAGGTTGTGAGGTGAGGTAATGTACAACGGGGTGGAAGAATTTCAGCTAGAGAATGCAATAGGATGTGTCCCCCGTAAGCGTTAGGGTCACTTCTAGGCAATTCGCAACTTCCAAAGGAGCGCCTAGAAACTACTGCCCCCAGTTAGTGGACAGCCCCACTGAGTCCAGACCTGATTTTGTGCGGAGAGTCTCGACCAAGTAGCGCCGCCGCGCCACGTCCCTTCATGCAGGATGTCCAGCGCGGCCAAGTTCCGTTCTTGCGCCTGTGACTTTCTTGGTGCTCACCAGGGCTGACGATTCAAGGGAAAATGCCCTTAATGCCCTGAACATTAATGGCTGGGTTCAGCCCAGCTTCCGAATTGTAAGGGTTGGCTTTGAGGGTAGCCCTTTCCCGCAAAGTGCTGGTTGTGGGCCTAACCTGGATTTCAAGTGCAGATCCCGCGGCTAGCCCGTATCGTCACATACTAATACTCCCTCCCTCCCATTCGCTCACCAGTCCCCCCACCTCATCCCAGCCACTCCTCTACTTCCTCTCCTATCCCCCTCATATCCATCGACATGTTTCGTACCTCAGCCTATTGCCTAGCTGGCTCTTAGTAGTTTGCCTAGGATATGGTATTCTTGGCGAAGTGCAAAAAAGTTGGTAGCCCTGATTTCAAGTGCCAGGTTTGCTCTCAGCCCGGAAATTTCAGGGCAACTTTTGGGGCACCTCAGCCTCTCAAGTTCTGGCTCCAAACCAATCGACAGCCCTGGTGCTCACCGCTGGTTTGTTGCAATCTAAAACGGTTGAGGGCAGTATAAACCACTTCCGATGACTTGACAGTGACACCCACATCCTTACTGAGCAAGTAATAGGTACAGTACCTGCGACGACCTTCTCTTCTTTGAATTGCACAGACGATGCTATCTGGCAACAATTGCCATCAATTAGAGCAAGCTCTCACGGAAGGTCCGAGCAACCCTTATGCGCTGCATCTAATAATACGCTCCATGGCGCCCGACAGACTCGGTCTCGATAAACCGTACGGCTACTCGTACTCGTGCGATGGAAGCACTGTAGCAAGCTGGAAAGCGCCTAGATACGCGGCTGTGTGCAATGCCGCCGTTCCGGCCGGCCTGCGGCTGAACCTCAGAATGAGTAGCCGCGTCCTCTTTGTGGTCCTTCTCGCCGCCGTTGTCGCCGTCACTCGCGACAGCAGCACGGCTTTCCTTCTAGGCATCTGGCGCTCCCGCTCCGTTCTTCTCGGGGATCCCGCAGGCCCTGCGGGCGCGGAGATGGCGGAACCGCCAAGATACGAGACAACACGGGGCCGCGCTTCGTACTCTCAGCAATTTCCGGGGGACGATTCCGAGGCGGCGCCGGAGTGGCCGCCGCCGGGGCCGCCATTGTCGGCGAAAGCGGCGGCAGCGGCCGACGCAAACGTCGCGCGGTCGTCGGAGCGCCGCGACGGTCAATCTCTTCCCGACATTGTTGTCTGGGCAAAGGTGCTATTAGCTGTAGCGGCGGCGTTGAAGTGCATGACGTAGCTACGTCATTGGTCGACTGTGCCACGCCGCGTCGCAGCGCAGTTCAGATCATGTACCTCCGGCGAAGCGCTGTGTCGTACTGATGCGGGAGACAGCTCGTTTCGGATTAGCGGTGCGTGTTGTTCGTAACATGACGCGGGCCGCGATGTATCGTTGATTGCCGTGCATCTCTTAACTTGCGGCACGTGGTCGTGCGGCACGAATGTCCCACCAAGTCATTGATTGTGTTAAACGTGTCATTGAATCTTGCTACTCTATCCGTCAGATTTCTTCCTTACGATGGTCAAGCCAGCCGCGCCGCGTGCGGCGGCGCCGCCCCGATGTAGCAGGATGCTGCGCCGTTCGACAACTGTTTCCTCTGCCTCTTCGCTTTCACCGAATTTGTGATTCGCTGCCACCTGACTACACTTTTTTTCTGGTAACTACCCGCTTCGGACTACCTCCCACTCCCCCCTCCCCCACGCTCACACCCCCTTATCCCATTTCCGCCGACCCCCTTCCCCGTGTCTATACCGCATCAATGCAGGGCCCCCTGCACGACCGCCTAGACGCACTCTGCGCGGGCTACAGCGTTGGCGCTCTGCTTTCCGCCGCCAGTGTTGCAACATCTACAGCAACAGAAGCACAAGGAGACGCAGAAACCGCGTCTTTCACCGCTAGTGCTTCTGCTTCCACCGTCGACGGGGTGCTTCCGCTTCCGCTTCAACTCGCCTTCTCCGCAAACGACTCGCGGAGCTCCTCCCCGCGCGCCCCCCTGCATCGCGCCCTGCGCGTGGCCGTGCTGTGGCTGCCCGAACCCGCGCTGCCCCACTCCCGCGTGCACCACCTCCTCGCGCCCCTGCCGCCCCTCTCCGCGCTCGCGCCCGAGTCCAGTGGCGAAGCGGAGGGCACCGGTGGTCAAGAAGGTCAACGCGGTCAAGATGGTGAAGGCGAGGGCGCGCCGAGCGGGAGAGATGCAGCAACGGTGCTGTACCAACGGCCTGGCTGGCTTGACAGCACTCGCTACACCCCTGCGGTGCGCTGCTCTTGCTTCCAGTCACAACCCGCCTCCTCTCTACCCCACTCCCTCTCTACCCCACTCCCTCTCTCCCTCTCTCCCTCTATCCCTCACTCCCACACTCCAGACTTCGTTAGTCGCCCAACCCCTACCCCTCTAGTAACATTTGTTCCGCTCTTCGTTCCGTCTTTCTCACTCCGCACTCCCCGCTCATCTTGACAACACCGCTCGCTCCCCCCAGTGCTGCTCTGCATCTTTACCGCCTGAACTTACCCCGTTCTTCCGCTCATTCCTTTGAATGCATGTATGCATGTGTGCTGGCACGCCGGTATGCCTGCATGCATGTGTTTGTATGCGTGTGCATGCCTTGTCTCGCACATGTTTCCCCCCGTCAGAGCATCACTCTTCGCATTCCTCAACCCGCATCATCGACAGACGACCGCCAGTCGTCCCAACAAGCCTCTTCCTCCTCCACCACCTCTCACCCCTCCCGACCACTCCGCCTTTCTCTTTTCCTCGCCTCCTCTCTCTCACCCCTCCTTCCTAGCCTCTCCTCCCTGGACCAATCCCAGCTGCACACGTCACTGCACCGCTGCTACAGCCTGCTACAGCCGTCCCAGCCAGTGCAGCGGCTCATAGCCAAGGAGAACATGACACGTATCAGACAAAGCACAGGTGTCTACCTGGAACCCGTTTCCCTCTCCACCAATCCCTCCTCCCCCTCTCCCTCCCCCTCCGCCTCCGTCTCCGCCTCCGCCTCCGCCCTCCCCTCCGCCTCCCCGCGCCCTACGTGCGCCTCCTGTCCGCCGTCGCTCCTCGTCAACTGCACGGCGCGGCGCCTCATGTGGTTCTTCCTGCGCGCGCCACACGCCGACGCCACCGTCGCCGCCTTCTTCCCCTCGCAAGCGCTCGCCGTCGCGCGCTCCTTCCACGCCAACCGCCAGCCGCACCTGCTCTCCACCACGCTGCGCCGCGCTGCGCTGTGCCGCCCGAACCCCCAGTGGGGGGAGGCCGCTCCGCCCGAAGTTCCCGCCGCGGCGCTGAGTATTAAGGAGAGCGAGAAACGGTGGTGGGTGAAACAGATGGTGCGGCGCATGCTGGTGTCGGGGGAGGAGGCGGAGGGGGAGGATTACGCGCATGGCAACGCGCGGGGGAGCGGCAAGGGGCGGCCGCGGAGGCAGTCGATTCTGTGCGCGCGGCTGGAAGCGGCGGAGCTGTTTGCGCTATCGCAGGCGCGCGGACTCATCCACGCGCAGCACTCCCCGCAGGCGGACCTCGTGCGCGCGCAGGCGCGAGCGCGCGGAGCTGTTGTGGTGGTTCGCGATGTGAATGTTGCCCCCGAGAGCGAACCCATGGCGGACGATGGAGAGCAAGGGGAGGCGGCCGTGGGGACGGGGCAAAGCGAGGGCGTGGAAGAAGGGGAGGAGGGGAGAAGCGCGGGCGGAGAGGGTGGTGTGGGTGAGCGAGAGGCAGCAGGCGGGGAGGGAGGCCGGGGGAGTGAGGGGAATGCGTGGGCGGGCGGTGATGGTGCGGGTGGTAGGGCTGCGACTCGGCGCCTGAGCGCGATGGATGGCTCCAGTGATGGTGAAGGAGGTGGTGCGGAGGAGGTGTGGTTTGAGGCGGAGAGGGCGCTGTGTGATGCACCGGCCATGAAGCCCATCACGGAGCACCGCGTGGGGCAGCAGCTCATAGTCGATGGTGAGCCCATGTGCTTTGCCGTGCCGTGCCGTGCTGCGCTGCGCTGCGCTTTGCTGCATGGATGAATGCTCTCAGTCTGGCCTGCCCTGATGTGCCATGCCATGTTGTGTCATGTAGCTGACAAGGGAGCACGTGGGGGTCTTGTACTATGCCACATCCAATGCGCCTTGCACCACTCCACCTCTCCGCCGATTCACTCTCATCCTCACCACTTCACCTCCCTCAATCCCTCTCTATCACCCTCCTGCCCCTCTTCTTCCCCCCACCTTTCGCCGCTCCTCTCCCCGCGACCCCCCTTGCCCCTCCCTGCTCCGCACCCCACCAGAGTCTCTGGGGGTGTTCTACTGCGCGGTGCCCAAGGCAGCCTGCACCAGCTGGAAGATGTGGATGCGCCAGCAGCACCACGATCCAAACGCCGCCGACCGCTCCTCCGTGCACCGCCCCTACCGCTCGCACCTCCCAGCCGTCTGGTTCGGGATGTCCGAGCCTGAGGCGATCCGCGCGGTGACCCGACGGGACCTGGTGCGGTTTGTGTTTGTGCGGAACCCGTTCTCACGGCTGGTGTCGGCATACATGGATAAGGTGGTGCAGGGCGAGGGCATCGGCATGCGCATCCGCATCGGGTGGACCATGGTGAGTCAACAACGCGTGGATAAGCAGGGTGTGTGAGGAGGGAGGGGGAAGGGGGGGGTTGGTAAGGGAGGAATTTGGGTGGATGGTCTGGGGGATCTGTATGGGGTGTTCGGATAAGGGGAGAGGGATGTATGGAGGAAGGGAAGAGGTGTTTGAGCGTGTGGGTGGTGGCATGCCTGTGTACGATCAGTGTGCCCCTCTTCCCTTTCACTTGCTCGCCCCTTTTCTGCTCGCCAACTCTCGCCTTGCTGCTGTCTCACATCCTGCATCGTCTTACCCCTCATCCCTGTCGCTTCCCCTTCTCTCGCATCCACTCGCTTTGCCATCCACTCCCTCCCCTCCCACCCCTCCCACCCCATCCCTCCCTCCCCTCACATGCCACTTTCTCCCCTGGCAACCCCTCCCCTCTTCCCACCTCATCTCCTCCCTTTCCTAAACCCACCCCCCCCCTTCCCTCTCCCCCTCCTCTCCTCCTCTCCCTTCCCCCACCCACCACAGCGCTTCTTCTTCCGCCTGGCAACAGTAAGCCGCCAAACGCACCGCCCATTCGCCCTCTCCGACCTCGCGCACCCCTCGCGCCTCACCCCCGCGCTCTCCCCGTGGGGCGCGCTGCGCCTGATGCTGGGCGCGGTGGTGAGCTTCAAGGAGTTTGCGCGCTTGGTGGAGGAGGCGCGCCGCATGGACGACCTCGTGGCCATGGACAACCATCTCGCCCCGCAGGTGAGGAAAGGGGGGAGCTCTCTGCGTGTGGATGTGAGTGGTGGGGGGGGTGGGGGGGGGGCGAGGGGTGTGCCGGAGTGTGTGTGCCTGTGGGTGTGCGGGGTGGAGGAGGCACGGCGGCTGGACGATCTGGTGGCCATGGACAACCACCTTGCCCCGCATGTGAGGGAAAGAGGGAAAACTGCGTGAAGGGGGAAGGGGGGGGATGTGCCTGGGGGTGTGGGATTGAGGCGGCATGGCGGCTGAAAAATTTGGTTGCTATGGACAGTTATCTTGCACGGCAGGTGAGGAAAGGGGGGAAAATCTGCGTGTGGGATGCTGGGGGAGTGTATGTGTGGTGTGGATGAAGCGCTTGTTTAATGTGGTTGCCTCTCCCTCTCTCAACCCCCTTCACCGTCGTTACATCCACTGCTCTCCCCTGCAGGCCTTCCTGTGCGGGCTAAACCACATCAAGTACGGCATGCTGGGTCATGTGCCGCCTCTAAAAAAGACCCCCTCATCTCTGTCTCCCTCAACCCCTAGCACGCACCTCTCTCCCCTCTGTCCAGATCTTCCAGTGCAGGCTAAACCACATCAAGTACGGTGTGCTGGATCTATCAGCACCTCGTAAATAGAACCCCCACCCCCCACCTCTCCCTCCACTCCCTCTCCCATCCCCCTCTTCCCCCTACTCCAGACCTCCGTGTGCGGGCTAAACCACATCAAGTACGACGTGGTGGGGCGCTTTGAGCACATGCAGCAGGACGTGCAGCAAGTGCTCTCCGCTCTCGGCAAGCCCGCCGTGGCACAGGAGGAGCAGCAAGGTGCGGAGGCGGGGCGAGGACGCAAGGTGGAGGACCCGTTTGCTGCGGGCAAGGGCGTGCACTTTACCAACTCGTCCAACCGCGTGTTTGACATGATTCAAGACAAGGTGTGTGCCGCGCATATGCTGCTTATTCGGCCCCACTGCTGCGCACGGGCCCATTGCTGCCCGCCTCTCTGCTGCCCGCCTCTCTGCTGCCCGCCTCTCTGCTGCCCGCCTCTCTGCTGCAGCACTGAGGTTGAGTGTGTTCAATTGGTCAGGAACTGATGTTAATGAATTGAGGTACTGTGTGGGGTGTTGGGTGAAAGAGCAAGAACCACAGTGAAGGAAGAAGGGGACGTGGGACAGTGCAATCAGTGCGGGAAGGAACCTTGATACATAAGGTAAAGAATCGGTCGGCGGCTTTTTGACGAGCAAATCTTGAATGACTAAAAGCCTTGTGTGTGTGCCCTTGTGTTGTGTGGATGGTACAGGAGACGTATTTGCGGGTGAAACGAGTGTATGCCATGGATATGCACTCCACTCTCAACGACCTGCACTACAACCCGCCAGCGGATCTGGCAAAAAAGTTTGAAGGCTGAACCAACAGGAATGGTGTAACATGATGGGATTTTGAGTGTGGGCTGGGTTGGCAATAAAGCTGCTTTGGTTGGCAGTCTGGGCTTGGTTGGCAAGCAAAGGTATTTTTGTTTTGTTCCATTTTTTTTCTTCTGCCCTTAAGGGTTTCGGGGACAGGTGATAAATAATCCGATGTATAATTTTGTCATATCTTGTACAATTATTGGAACAGCCTTCCTCATTTCCTGGACACTAGCGGTTTGCGACTTGTACATAACTCTACCATTGCTCTCCCGCCCCCGGCCCTTACGCGGCCCCGTCGCCGGCTCTCACGCGGCCCCGCAGCAGGCTCTGTCGCGGCCCCGCCCCGGCCTTTACGCGGCCCCGCCGCCTGCTCTCACGCGGCCCCGCCCCGGCTCCTTCGCGGCCCCGCCGCCTGCTCTCGCGCGGCCCCGCCCCGGCTTCTACGCGGCCCCGCCCTGTGAAAAGAATGAACAGGAATGAGAATGACTAAGGAAAGATTGGGTACAAATACAACCCTAGAAACCCTGTACCCCATATGTGCTACCCCACTATAGCCTACAAACATGCATCAGCTATAATACTCTGACACACCCCCATAGGCAAAGTGGGGGAGAACAAGGGGTCACAAGACCAGTCAAGCAAAGCAAAGCAAAGAAAGCTCAGGGTGGATCACAAAGTCACCACACAGTCCGAGCAGAAGAGCAGGGCCAGAGGCCAGTTCACATGCAGGAGTACAGACATATATATAAAACTAGACAAGCAAGAGCAGGTATATATATATGTCACAGTACAAGTGAAGTCAAGAGGAGAGCAAGTGAGGTAAGACAGGCACAAGCCCCAGCTGGGTGCAAAAGCGCTGATGGTCACAAGGCGCGAGTGCCTTGGTGAACACATCAGCAGTGTTGGCCTCAGAGGCCACGTACGCAAGTCGCAACTGACCACGCTGCTGCAGCTCACGAGCAAGGAAGTAGCGGAGAGCAATGTGCTTCGTTCTGTGCTCCAAGCGCTGCTCTCGACACAAGGCCAGCATGGCCTTGTTGTCTACGTACAGCACTGGAGGAGAACGAGGCGGCTCTCCAAGGTCAGTCAGCAGGTAGGTGAGCCAGCGAAGCTCCTGTGCAGCCATGGCCCCGGCGTAGATCTCAGCCTCACAGCTGGAGCCGAGAACCGAAGACGAGCGAGTAGACCGCCACGAGACAGAGCCGGAACCAAGGCTGAAGGTGTAACCCTGTGACGACCGCTGCGTAGCCTGGTCGTCAGCCCAAGAAGCGTCCGCGTGGCCGGTAAGGACCACTGGACTCCGCCCTCCAAGCACTAGCCCCATGCCCGACGTACTGCACAGGTAGCGCAATACCCTCTTCGCTGCAGCCATGTGCTCCGGTCTGTGTCTCCCAGGAGCAACATAGCGTGCAAGAATGCTCAGAGGGTATGCAAGGTCAGGTCGTGTGCAGGTCATCAGGTACATGAGGCAGCCAACAAGCTCTGCATACGGACCACTCGACTCTACGGACTCATCCGAAGGCAGAGCTGAGAGTGAGAGGCGAGTAGGCAGAGGAGTGGCCTGAGGCGAGGAGTACGTGAAGCCGAAGCGCTGAAGGACCTGCTGCACCATGTGTGACTGAGTCAAGGTAATGGTGCGGCGTGCTCTGTCCCGAGTGATCTGCAAGCCAAGGTAGCTGCGCAGTTCACCCAGGTCTGTGCACGTGTGTCTCTTCAGCAGCTCGGACTTCACGTAGGCCAGTCCAGCAGTGTCCGCTGTGGCAAAGACCAAGTCGTCGACGTACACGAGGTAGCTGATGTTTCACGCGGCCCCGTCGACGGCTTTGTCGCGGCCCCGCCCAGGCCCTTACGCGGCCCCGCCGCCTGCTCTCACGCGGCCCCGCCCCGGCTCCTTCGCGGCCCCGCCGCCTGCTCTCGCGCGGCCCCGCCCCGGCTTCTACGCGGCCCCGCCCCGGCTTTCACGCGGCCCCGCCGACGGCTCTGTCGCGGCCCCGCCCAGACCCTTACGCGGCCCCGCCGCCTGCCCCCGTCGCGGCCCGGTCGCCTCCTGACGGCCCCGCCGTCCCTTCGTGACGGCCCCGCCGTCCCCTCCTGACGGCTCCTGCCGTCCCCTTCTACCGGCCCCACAACTGCACCTGCTGGCCCCGCCGCTGCACCTACCGGCCCCCACCACCCACCCCCCCTTTTCCCGTCGCCTGTCGAGGCGACCTGAGAGGCCAGCAGAGGGGTGGCAGGTGTGTGGCCTCCCCTGCTTCTCCTCCTCCTTCATCGCTCACCTGCAGCAGCCGAGCCGCCCCACCGCCGAGCCGCCCTGCACCCGAGCCGCCCAGCAGCCGAGCCGCCCTGCCGCCGAGCCGCCGGGTCGCTGAGCTGCTGAGCTGCAGTTGCTGCCGAGCCGCCCTGCCGCCGAGCCGCCGAGTCACCGAGCTGCTGAGCTGCAGTTGCTGCCGAGCCGCCTTGCCGCCGAGCCGCCCGAGTCGCCCGAGCCGCCGAGCCGCCGAGCTGCCGAGCCGCTGAGTCGCCGAGCCTACTCTTCCCACCACTGGTGAGCTCTTGCCCTGCTAGCACGCTGCGCGTCGCCTGCTTGCCTGCCTGCCTGCCTTTTGGCTTGCCTGGCTGCCTGCCTTCCTGCTGCTAGTCCTGCTCCTGCTTCTACTTGCGGAGCCAGATGCAGCCCCAGCGACGCCTGCGTGAGTCCCTCACGCCCCAGCAGCTACGTGAGTGGTACGCTGGTTGGGGCTGTAGGGGTGGCGACGCTACTCCTACTTCCACTCCTGCTGCTTCTACTCGTGGTGGCGGCCAGATGCAGCTCCCGCGACCCTCTCGCGTGTCTCTCACGCCTCGCCAGCTTCGTGAGTGGTACGCTCAGAGTGGAGGGTCTCTCAGTGCTGTTCGCTGCTCTTACGTGATTCGCACTGGTACTCGGACTGGTCAGCCTTGTGGGACACGTAGTCATACACAGTCCCGCTGCTTCGCCCGTCTGAGCGACGCCTGGCGTACCGTGTTTGGCGACGAGGCTGAGCTTCCCGACTGGGTGGAGTTGCTTAGGCAGAGGGTAGATATATATGCTCTTGACTATGATGCTATTCTCACTGCCATGTATGCATTGCCTACTAGTGCTGACCGTCCCGGTCACCTGTGCGTCCCGCGTGACCCAGGTATAGGACTTGCTGCTCTAGCTACTGGTGAGGCTGCTGCTCTGGGTGCTAGTGAGTCTCCTGCTCCAGGTACAGGTGCGGCTGCTGCTCTAGGTGCTCGTGAGTCTGCTTCCTCAGGTGCGGGTGAGGCTGCGCTCTCAGGTACCGCGTTGGCTTCGGCCTCCCTCACCTTTACACTTGACTCTGGGGCTTCTCGCTCCTTCTTTCGGGACCGCACCACACTCACGCCGCTTGGTCGGCCGGTTGCTGTCTCCCTGGCTGACCCCTCTGGGGGTCCTGTCCTCGCTCACTTCTCCACTGTCCTCCCGTGTCCGGCTGCCCCCTCGGGCACCCTGTCTGGCCTGTACCTCCCCTCGTTCTCGACGAACTTGGTGAGTGGTGCAGACCTACAGGATGCGGGGGTTCACCAGTTCACTCCTGCGAGTCAGCGGGTGACCCACTGCACGGACGCACGCACAGGCCGGCACCTGGCCACGTTCTCGCGTCGGCCGGGGTCGAGCCTCTACACCCTGACCACTGAGTCTCCTCCTGTCCCCGCGTCCGGTCAGGTAGCAGCGTCGGGTCAGGTGTTTGCTGCTGCGTCCAGGTCTGGTCCTGAGTCTGCCCCCTGTTCGTGTCGCCTCCTGTCTCACGAGACTCTTCTGTGGCACCACCGTCTAGGCCACCCCTCCTTGCCCCGTCTTCGGGGCATAGCTTCCCGTGTCCTTGTCTCTGGTCTTCCCCAGTCTCTCCCTCCCCTTCCTTCGGGACCAGGACCTTCCTGTGTCCCCTGTGTCGAGGGGCGCCTCAGGGCTGCTCCTCACTCCTCCCAGTTTCCCCCGACAGAGGCTCCTCTGCAGACGCTTCACATGGACGTGTGGGGCCCGGCCCCCGTCCGTGGGCAGGGTCACGAGCGCTACTTCCTGTTGGTGGTTGACGACTACTCGCGTTACACCTCAGTCTTCCCCTTGCGCAGCAAGGGTGCTGTCACTGAGGTGCTGATCGACTGGATCCGCGAGGCTCGTCTCCAGCTCAGGAGGAGCTTCGGCTCGGACTTTCCTGTTCTGCGTCTGCACTCTGACCGAGGTGGGGAGTTCTCCTCTCGCCTTCTGCGAGACTACTGTCGTGCACAGGGGATCCGCCAGACCTTTACGCTTCCGGACTCTCCACAGCAAAATGGGATTGCTGAGCGCCGCATTGGCATGGTCATGGATGTCGCTCGTACGTCCATGATGCATGCGGCTGCCCCCCATTTTCTGTGGCCGTTTGCGGTTCGGTACGCGGCGCATCAGCTCAACCTTCACCCCAGGGTCTCTCGGCCCGCGATGTCCCCAGTGTTACTGTGGACGGGGAAGGTCGGCGATGCGTCTGCGTTCCGTGTCTGGGGATCTCGGGCGTTTGTCCGCGACTTGTCTGCGGACAAGCTGTCCCCCCGTGCTGCTCCCTGTGCCTTCCTTGGCTTCCCCCCTGACGCTCCAGGGTGGCAGTTCTACCACCCCTCCTCTCGTCGTGTTCTGTCCTCCCAGGACGTCACGTTCGACGAGTCAGTCCCCTTCTACCGCCTCTTCCCCTACCGTACTCCTTCCCTCCCCCCCCCACCGGACTTCCTGGTACCAGTTCCCCCCCTGGTAGACCCCCTCCCCCCTCAGGTTCCTGCCCCTTCAGGTGTGTCCCAGGTAGACACGGTCGAGCCAGTCGAGGTTGCTGCTGAGTCTGGTCCTGCTGCGGGTGCTGAACCTGGGGGTGCTGCTGCTGGGGGTGCTGAGCCTGGGGGTGCTGAGCCTGGGGGTGCGAGGCCGGGGGGTGCTGAGTCTGGGGGTGCTGAGCCGGGGGGTGCTGAGCCGGAGGGTGCTACGTCAGGA